AACGAGCTTGATACCATTACGTGGTACGATCGCTACACTTCCATCAATCTGTTTACCTACAGGTGCGCCAGGCAGCGGTTCATTAGATACTAGCAACAGTAGCAGTAGTTCACGACGATCAAATTCTGATCATTTCAATATAAATAGTGTACGTGATGTATTATCATTGGTTGTGCCCAAAAGTGTTAATGTTGCCAATTTCCGACTCGGTTCGCCTACTGTTATATCACAATTGCTCAAACTGGATGAAATGTCACAGAATACGGAATATAAAATTGGTGTTCTGTATGCATATGGTAATCAACATAGTGAAGAAGAATTTTACAACAACATACTCGACTATTCTACATCGTCGAGAAGCTCATTTTATGATTTTCTTGGCCTTATAGCTAGTCGTATTCGTTTAAAAGAATTCAAAGGATATAAAGCTGGTCTTGATGTACAAAACGATACTACGGGTGAATATTCTTGGACCTCAAAATTTGGCCATACTGAGATTATGTTTCATGTTTGTACTGAACTTCCTTTCAACAGTACAAATAGACAACAGTAAGTCTTGATTGAGATTGTCGCAAAAACAAATTATCACGGAATTTTTTCTCATTGCTAAATATAGACTTCCACGAAAACGTCACATTGGAAATGACATTGTTACCATTGTGTTTTTACATGAAAATTTTACTGGTTCACCTTTTACACCTGCTTTGATTAGATCGAAATTTCAACAAGTTTTTATTATTGTTCAACCATTCCAGAATGGAAAATATTTCCGAATAGCAGTGGCTCGCCATAAGTTGGTTCCATTGTTTGGACCACCTGTCAAACCATATTATACACGTCAAGAGTTGAGAGAATTTATTCTTACTAAAATCATCAATGCCGAGAATGCGTAAGTGAATAGAAAAAATGTTTTTGATAATAAGATTTGTTTTAATGCAATTTTTTCTGTCATTCATCCACAGTTGTCATTCCGTTAATAAATTTGCCGAAATGGCCAAACGAACTAGACATGAATATCTGACGGAAATGTGTCAGAAACATTCGTTGACACAAACGGTTGCTCATGTTGATTCAAGCCTTAGTTCTAATTCATTAAATTCATTTAAAAAATTATGGACATTAAGTGCAACAAATAATTCATCTTCGTCAGGCAATGATCATTCATCGTCAAAACATCGAAGTAAATCCGAACTTTTGGATTCGAATTCATTCAATCAATTACCGTATGCTGGTCATATTCTCAATGGTATTAGAGATCCACCTACGTTGAATGGTGCAATTCTTTTCTCCGAACGATGTGCAGGTTCATCAGTACCATCAAGATTATATGTTCATGATTACTATGCTAATCGTGATGTAGAAGTTCAACTGTTACTATCGAATGAAGCAATTCTGGTCATAGAGGTTGCAACGATGGAAGTTATTTGGGCTGCGCCTGTTACCTCAATAATTGGATGGACCGATTCACGTGGTGTTTTTGCTACATCATCCACAAATTGTGTCATATCAACAATTCGTCAACCATCGTCATCAGCTTCGACGTCCAGTGGTGGTAGTTCGATAAATAAACTGTTTGGTGATAAGAAATCCAAATCAGTTGATTCTGAAACTTCATCAGCCAATCATTGTTCAATGCTCAATGATTCCAGTCGTGAACTTCGATTATATTATCATCAAGGGGAATGCATACAGCTAATGCAAAGGCCAATAAATCCAGCTTTGATGAAACAAAATCCCAGTGAATCTGTGCCTTACAATTTGGTGAATGGAAAATTATCATCCAAACAACAAAATCAACAATTAGCTAATCAACGAAATAATGATCCATTTTTGATGCTAATTCGTGTTCTCGAGTTGATAACTCGTAAATCTGAATTGAGAGCCATTGTTATCAAACGTAAATCATCGACAACAACACGATCTTCAAATTCTTCAAAATCTGCTTCCAATACACCAGAACATCGTAAATCATCGCCTCCACATTCATTACCGAATACTATTGAACCACTTGGAATTTGTGGTGGTGAATTTGGATTTCAAATGAAAATGCCCACCGGTATTATTGAGGAGATTTTCGATCAAACACTTTCAATTTATCATCTAGTTCCCGGTTGTAAAGTCATTGAAATTGATAAAATTAGTTTTGCTGCTATGGCTATGGATGAATTACAAGAACTGGTCAATTCATCACTGATCATGTGTCTTACATTTACTCCGTATGATTTTGCTCGTCTACAGCCACGATGTAATTGTCCATGGCCGAAAGCTTTACAACTTCAACACAGACAAAAGTCTCAACAAACTCCACCAAGCGACTATGAAAATGTTACAAAAAGTTTGACAAATACACCATTGAAATCTTTATCATCATCGATGATTGTTTCTTCATCCATGTTTTTACCACCACCACCACCACCACAATCATCTACATCTACAACGTTATCTACACAAAATTCAGGGGTGAAAACGATTCATATTACTCATAGCAATAATAATTCAACAATAACACCACAACAACAAATTGACAGTATTCAACAACAACAACAACAAGTGTCAACAAATGTTTTTAATTTGGTGTCATCAGCGTCATCATCATCATCATCATCAAATTCAAGTTATTATTCACCAAATACAACGGCAACAACAACAATAAGCCATAGTAATCAACAATCTCCATCTTACAGTAATAGTTTTTCTATTCACCAACAGCAGTTATATTCGGCAAAATCTGCAACAAGTTTAAATCAATTGTATCATCATCACCACCATCACCAACAACAACAACAGCAACATCAACAATCGCCAATTAAAATTGCATCATCTGGTCAAAATTTAACATCATCACCGCTTACGACTTCAACTTCACTTTTTCATCATCCACAGCAGCAGCAGCCATATCGAACATTGTTAGCTAATCGTTCTGGACATTCACAAACAGCAATTACGACTCAACCGTCTACATTGAAAGGTATGTGATGATGGTTTAATACGAAATTTTTTTGCAATAAATTGTCTTTTTTCTTTTGACGTTTGCAGATAATCTAATTCGATTGATTACAATGGATGATTATAATACGAATGGTGGTTCACCAATGAATTCGCCTTCAGCTAAAAGTGATGTGACTCCACTTATAGTGGGAATTGGACAGCATCAGTCAGCTAATGATGGCCATCATTGTCCTGAAATAAACGCTCGTCGACCACAAACAATTGGTGCAAGTCAATATAGTAGTCTTACAACTTCGAACACTCCCATTCATAACAACAACTGCCATGAACAACAACAGCATTATCGTTATTCGCAAGAACCAAAGCTGCAGCATGATACCGAATCGACATATTCTTGTTCCAATTATGCACCAATCGGTACCGGATCAAATTCTAGATATTCAACTGCTTCACAATATTCCTCACAAAGTCGAACATCGTCGAATGGATCAAATGCACAGACAACCATTCATGTTAATTCTAGCCATATAACTGTGCCAGTCATTTCTGGTCAACAACAACAGTCAAAGATGATACGAACAGGACCATATGGAAAAGAATCGACAACAGATTTGAAAAATTCAGCTAGTTCCAGTAATCTGACAACAACATCAGCAACAGCTGAAAACAATGATTGTTATCTACTCACAGCTCAACCTGTTCGAGTGGATAGCTCGAATGGCTTATCAGCTTCAAACTCTTCAACGGCCAATAATCTACTTCATCAGCAGCAGCAGCAGCAACAAGTTGAATGTGTCAACAATGATGAAATAATCAATGTTGTAACACCAACGAATAAACCAATGATGAGTCAATCATATGATTGTAATAATCTTTATCAATCATTATTAACTGGTTCGATTCATTCAGCTGGTGGCGATACAATTGGTGATATTGTATGGCCTTCGATGCATTCATCATTGGTGGATCATCAATCATCATATATTACCAATAATCATCATCAGCAACAACAACAACAACAACAACAGATTTGCGCATCAACAATTGCCAACAACAACAATACAGATTCATCATCGATTACTACTAATTGTGATACAAATAGTAGTAGTAATACATCAACCTCAGGTCAGGTTCGTCATCAAGTTGTCGCTGCACAACATCTTACCGAAGAAGGTACACACACACACATTTTGTGAAAATTTAAATTTAAAACTTCTAACAATTTATTTTTTTTTATTAACAGTTCGGAAATTATCATTGGAAAAAGATGTACTCAATGATACGATATCAAAATTACGTGAAGAAAATCAACGATTACATTTAGAATCACAAACAGCATCACAACAGCTTCGAAAATTGACCGAATGGTTTTTCAATTCAAATCCAAATGCTTCAACAACAACAACGACGACAACATCATCGTCGACTACTGTTTGTGAACCGTCATCATCTACAAATACCAATACGATCACAATCTCGATACCACAACAACAACAACAACCTACAACAACTTCAACTTCAATTCCTATGACGACGACTACTACTGAACAAACAAACGAATAACGCATTCAGATACACAAAAAAAAACCAATTTTTATTTGTGATATTTTCATTTAGGAATTTACTAAGCCTCCGCACACCTTAGCGAAACTTACCATCATCATTATACCAATTGATGTGAAAAACAATCGACCACCACCACCACCACTCATTGTATTTATTTCAAACATTTATCGATTAATCGATTAATTTATATTACCAACACCTTTTTTTTGTACACAAAATTCTCATGTATACAAGTCATTCACTGTATCCAATGTAAATCAAACACACAAAAATTGATATATACCTTTATGCACATAATGCACGGAAAATATTTTGCTCATCCACCATCACATCTCTTTGATTTTGATTTATTTTTCATTCCACATTTTTTTTGCCACTATTAATTTTTTCGTTTCTTATTTTCGCAATCAAATTATTGATCAATTTAATAATAATAAAAAAAATTTATTTAATTTGATTAATTGAATTATTCCACTTTGCTATTTGGACTATAAATTGGAATTTAAATTTTCGCTTTGTTTTACTGTGTGTTTTTATGATATTGTTTTACTATGTTGACCAGATCTAAATCTTCAATGGCAGGCAAGAAACAAAAACGATCATCAACAACAAGTTCAAACAACAATCTTCAAGAACGTGATCGCCATAGTAGACATCGATCACGATCATCAACATCATCTAGATCATCGTCTAGATCATCATCATCAAGATTAAAATCAGAACGTATTGATACACGATTATCTCGATCACAAATACGACGGATTGCCGATTTGGTCAGTAAAAATGTATTTAAATTATTTATTTGTTCAAAACATCAACGATTAATGCGTAAAGCATGTAAAGAGAATAAATTGCAGACTTGCTGTATGAGTAATCATATAGCGAATTCGGTTGTACAACTTCAACAGCAACAGAAACAGAAACATCAGCAGACCACCAAACAAGGACAAAAATCTGAACAATCAATAATTTCAACACCACGTAGCCGAACACCGCATGGATTTATCAAGATGATCAATTCTAGTTGGTTAAATTTAATGAAAAAATCACCAACAGCAGCAATAAGTAATAAATCATCATCGTCAAAAACGAAACATCAAAAAAAATCTTTAACAAAACAAATCATCAAAAGTAAATTGCAATCAATTTTGGATAAACGAGTGATGATTGAAAAAAGTCCTGAACACAAATCACCACAGATGAAGGAAAAAGAAGCCATCCAGCAGTCTAGTAAATCTCTTGTTGTCAACGATAGTATTGGTGAGGCGAATGTCAAATCTCTTGCTATTTCAGATTCGACTGTAGCAAAGTGCGAACAACAAGATAAAATTGCCGACGAAAAAAGTCCTGTGGTAGAAAAAATTCTAACCATTGATCCAACCAAAGAATTATTGAAAAAAAATTCAGAATTAAAATTGCCATCTAGTGAGGAAGGTGTTGGTGGTAGTAGCAGTGGTGTTGTTGAGCCACAAATCGAAAAAGAGCAACAGAATTTGATTAAAATTGAAAATGAAATTCCCAATGAAAAGACTAAAGAATTAGCTGTGGCCTCTTCGGAAATAATAAATGATGAACCAAAAACGAAATCGTCAATAAAATCAAAGATAATTGAAAATGATTCGATTCAAAAATCACGAGACTCAGTACTACCAACACCACGACTATCTCCTGAAATCAAAATGGATGAAAAAAAGCCTGTAATCAATTCAACGATTGAAAAACCAATTGAATCAACGATGGAAAAAGAGTTGATGACGTTACCGAAAAACCTGAATGATCCGGATAATACATCGTCGGCTAATAAAATGATGGTGTCGATTTCAATCGATAAAGATGATAAAAGTAAAGTAATTGAAAATCATTCAACATTGAAAAAAATCAACGATATAAATGAAAATGATGGCAGCTCGTTGAAATCAAAAATGATTAATCATATCAAAACGACAACGACGACGAACACTCCGATCAAACCAAAAACTGTGGCATCAACAGTTGTTTCCAAATCAATAATGCAATCACCATTATCTACGAGAAAAACCAAGTCTTTGATGATGAACAAAGTCAAATCATCGGATAATAAGACATTAGCATCAATTACAAAAACAAGGAATAAACAATTACGCAATTCGGCGGCCTCTAGTAATAGGTTAACAGCAATACCGTCGCCAATGAAGAAATCATTAATGATTACAAACGGTAGTAAAAAAGTTGATGCAAATAATAAGAAAATCACATCGATTTTGAGCAAAAAACAGGCACCACAATCTTCTTCTTTATCGAAAAACTTGAACGATAATAATCCAAAGATACGATCACCCGAACTATTAACTTTTTCACCTGGTTTAGTTACACCAGATTCTTCGTGTATGATGAGCCACGAATTGGAGGATGCGCCCAGTTCCAAGATCAATTCACAAACTGATTCATCTTCACTTCATCAACAAAATGATAGTAGTTCATCAGCACCATCATCCGAAGAAGTCAATTGTCAATTAATTGAAAAATCACAACAAAACCCTCTGACAACTAACCAATGAATTTGAATTTTTTTTTTGAGAAAAAACTTTATTTTTTAAACATTCATTGTCTATGAAAGGGTTATTTATGCGCTTATTCAACCGGTTCGGTTAATAGTTCATTTTCAACCCATTTACGGCAACTTTTACGATCCACTTTGCCGATCGATGTTCGTCCCAAATGTTTGACAAATTTTACGCCAGCTCGTAGTCGTTTTTGAAAGCCAATATTTTCTGTATATGCCATAATTGTTAATTATTGTTGTTACGATACACACACACAACACTTACCTTCTGTGAATTTGATCAATTCTTGTTCAGTAACATGATGGCCTGGACGAATTTCAACATATGCTCTTAACAACTGTCCATCGATTTGATGTTTAACACCGACAACACATACAGCACTGACTGCATGATGTCCGGCTAAAAATTCTTCAATTTCAAACGGTGATATACTCCAATGTCTAAATTTGATCATTTCTTTGATTCGATCCATGATGAACAGATTACCTTGCTCATCCAAATATCCTAAATCACCACTATGATACCATCCTTGAGAATCGATTGCTTTGGCGGTAGCTTCTTCATTTCGCCAATAACCTACAAATCTATGTGGTCCTCGGGAACAGATTTCACCAGGTGAGTTTGGTGGTAAATTCTGACCAGTATTCAAATCGATTATTTTCACTTCAGTATTACTGCATGGACGACCAACTGTTCCAGGTGGATCGGTATCGTCCATAAATACGCAAGTTGGTGCCAACATTTCACTTGAACCATACATATTGAACATCATTACATTGTATTTTTTCTTTATTTCATCGATATGTTCTTGTGGAACTTTCGAACCACCGAATGATATCATACGTAATGATTGAAGATTGTAACGTTGATTGAAATTTTCACGTGCCAAATCGGTTGTATGACTTGGTGAAATAACCAATTGTGTAATTTGGTATTTTTCCACTGAAGATAGTAATCCTTCAAGTTCCGAATCCGGTTCAAGCACCAATGTCATTCCATAGTAAAGGTTATAAAAACCAATTAGTGTACCGGAAACATGTCCCATTGGATACCAGAATGAATAAACTACTGGACAAATAATTGGTTTATATATCTCAATTAGTGCCACAGCTGTTTTATGGGTGTGAATCACTCCTTTTGGTTGTCCAGTTGTACCCGATGTAAAAACAATAAATAATTGGTCATTTTGATCGGTTTCAAAATAAGGAATACGTTCTAAAGAATCGCTTTGATTTTTTGGAATTTGTTTCAACGATAATATTTGTTTAGGAGCTTTTGAATGCTGTTGTAATTTTTGAATCAATTCTGCATCATCATTCAAATCCATTACGATAATTTTTTTCAACTGTTTAATAGCAGATGCATATTTTTCATTATCAAGAGCCGGCATCAAAACGGTTTCGACATGATGACGATCCAGAATCAAAATGGAACCATTTGTATCAAGTATCTGATTGGCTAATTCATAGGCTCCATTGGCCGGTGTGACCGGTGAAATCATTACGCCCAAATAAATCATTGCCAATTGTGAAACGAGATAATCGATACAATTGTCAGCGAAAAAAAGAATCACATCTTGGTTGGTGATTCCTGATTTCAAAAATCCATTGGCATATTGTTGAATTTTCCGATTTATTTGGCTATAAGTTAATTTTGTACCATCTTGTGAATCAATCTGAAATGAATGTTGTTTATTTTAAATCTGAAAAAAACAGAGAAAAAAAATTCACTTACTACAGCTATTCGATTTGGATCTTGACTCGTTATTTTTTGATGTAACAATTCACTCAAAGTCAAATTAGAAATTTTAATTGGTTCACGTGTTGTTTTAACGATGAATTGTTCGTCAATTTTTTCCGGCATTTTGATCTTGAACTTATTCCAAAGTATAAGATGGTGACAATTTCACAAAAATTTTCTATATTTTTCCATCGTATCGTAGGATTTATATAACCCGCTTTTTTGATTTCATCGAAATTGAAATAGTTTGATTTCAATCATTTTTTTACCACAATCAATCATCGATTATGATAATGATAATATTAGTTTGCCATTTTGTGACAACTTTTTGTAAATAAAATGTAATATGATCATTTCACACCAATATAGATGTTCTTTTCAATATTTTATTTTCTGATAAACTAAAGAAAAACGAACGAAATTTGATCATTTAATCATATGTCTCTGGTACAATTTTTTTTATCAAAAAAAAAAAAAAAAAAAAAAAAATCAAAATAGAAATAGAAATGATGATTATTGTTGTTTGCACTTGAAAAAATTTGTACTTTTCAGCTTTCGAAAACTTCATCAATGAAAAGTTCGAAAAAATCATCATTCGTCTATTTCGGTTATCAATTCATTTTCAATCCATTTACGGCATTGTTTTCGATCAATTTTTCCAATGGATGTTCGTGGTAATTTATCGACAAATCGAACACCGGCTCTAAGTCGTCTTTGGAAGGCCAAATTATCTGTAAAGGTGAAATATTCAATTAATTATTGTGTTATCTTTTAAGTGAATTCCAGGTTACCTTGAACATTTTTAATCAATTCTTGTTCGGTCACTTGATGACCTGGCCGAATTACAACATATGCTCTTAACCATTGTCCATCGGTTTGATGTTTAACACCAACAGCACAACAGCTATCAATAGCTGGATTTTCTAATAAATATTCTTCGATTTCATAGGGCCAAATACTCCAATATCGAAATTTGATCATTTCTTTGATTCGATCTATAATATAAAGATTGCCACGTTCATCATAATGACCTAAATCACCAGTATGATACCATCCTCGAGAATCGATTGCTTTCGCTGTAGCTTCTTCATTATGAAAATAACCAATGAATAGATGTGGTCCACGAAAACAAATTTCTCCCGAACAATTAGCTGGTAGATTTTTTCCCGTTTCTAAATCAATAATTTTCATTTCACAATAAGGTGATGGTGGACCAACACTGCCAACTGGTTCATTTACATCATCACCAGTGTTATAGGCACAGTGTAACAATTCAGTGGAACCATACAATTCATGCATTATGACATTATATCGATTACGAATTTCAACAAGTTGTTCTTTCGGTATTTTCGATCCACCGAATACCAATACACGTAATGATTGAAGATTATATTTTAATCGATAATCTTCACGTATCAATTGTGTTGCATGTCCCGGGGCAATTGCTAACTCTTCAATTCCATATTTTTCAACAGATGATAATAATTTATCCAAAATCGGTTCTTTTTCTATCACCAATGTGATTCCATGACATAAATTGTACGCGCTAAACATTGCACCAGAAATATGACCAAATGGATACCAAAATGAAAATCGACAATTCATTAGAATTGGCGTATTTGTTTCAATCATCGATCTTGCTGAATGATGGGTATATATCACTCCTTTAGGTTGTCCAGTTGTTCCAGAAGTATACACAATCATTAAATGATCATCTTTATTTCGTTCAAAGAATGGAATTTTTCCAAATATTCGAGATTCTCTTTAATTCGTTTCATCGATACAACAGATTTGGGAGACATTGGATGTTTGCTCAATGTTGAAATCATTTCATCATCAGTATCATCATTGGAATCAATGATAATCAACATTTTAAGTCCTTTTAACTGCGGAGCAATATTTCTCATTATCCATTGCTGGTAATAAAATCTTTTCGACACGTTGGCGATCCACAAATAAAACAGTACCACGTGCATTATGTATATGATTCGACATTTCAAATGGACCATTTGCCGGTGTCATCGGTGAGAATACTACACCTAAATATATAGTGGCTATTTGTGATGTTAAAAGATCCAAAGAATTATCAGCAAAAATAAAACCATATCATTTCGTTCCAATCCTAAAGATAAAAATCCTTTAGCATATCGTTGAATTTGTTGATGAAATTGTATGAATGTAAGTTCCATTCCATTTTCCGGAATAATCTGCATGAATTCAATTATTGAATTGACAAAAAAATTTAGAAATTCAAACACTTACAATTGCCGTTTTATTGCAATTATCAACGGTGAATTTTTTTGCAATATATTCACTAAAATTCACATCACTAATTGGTGGGTGTTCTCGTGGAGATTTTATAACGAATTCTTCGATTTCTTTTGTCATTTTTATTTTAGCCAATTTAATCAATGAATACAGAGAAAGAATAACCTTCGCTACTCGAGAAATGACTTTTGCCTAATCGTTTTATATGTGAAGGAGAGTGTTTCCACTATTATCAAAAACTTATCATATCATATGTCCATCATTCGAATAAGTTCATTTTGTTTGTTTAACAAAAAAAAACTCGTTCAAAGTACGATTGTACCAAAAAAAACGTCTAATTTGTTTTTTTTATTTGATAAATAAAATAAGGCAGACAGAAAAAATCATCAATTCAATTTAAATTTTTGAATATATTTTTTTTGTTGTTCGTTTCAGAAACCTCTAGGTGTTGAGCCAGGAAACGACAATAGATGAGTAGAATTTCGTTTAGAAACGGTCAAATTTTTGGTAAACTATTACGACGAGATTCTAGATCTAGTTTACATGATTCAGTGAATACAATTTCAATTGGTACTTGTTGTCGGCGGCTTGCTTCACCAATGATTGAATCCAATGTTTTGTTCCAGATTTTATCCGTACCAAAATCATTGATACGTAAAAATGTCAGATTCGGTAGTTTAGGTATTAATGCAGCCATTCCAGTATCCGTTATCGTTGGTGAAACAATATCCAAAAATGTAAGATTATCTAGACCAGATAGATTAGACAATGCTTGATCATCAATGTCAAGACCTTCGAGTTCCAAAGTTTCTAATTTAGGCAAATGAGTGGCAAATTTATCCAATAATGTTTTTGAATGATTTTTAAGAATCAAACGACAGTTTTTCAAATCTTTCAAATTTGCCATTGGCACAAGCGTTTTGTTGATACGAAAATCAATATGACGCATTGGTGATCGACCATTCAATGTTAATTGTACAAGTTTCGGAAGTTTACCTATGGCATCGATAAGTACATCACCATCGCCCATCCAAACACAAATGTTTACCGTGGTTAAATTGACCGACAGTTTTGTTAATAATTGTGCCAATTCTTTTTCAATGGCAACATTTGCCGTACAAGTTATTGATAATTTAGTTAAACCGGTCAAATTTTCGAGCAATCGGATAAATTCAGGTGTCTTTTCTTTGGTGTTAGCAAACGTAATGTCTAGATGACGTAAATATTGTGCATATTTGGCCGTAAATTGTGACAGCTTTTCCAATTCATCACCATTGATACGTGACCAAACATGTCGCATATTGGTTATTGTTTCACGATGTTCAGCCAACAAACCAATGGCATTATCAAGATGTAAAACTTCAAGATTACCAATCGACGAGATTAATGCTTTCAAACCGACATCCGTTACGCCAGTATTGCCCAACATTTCAAGATGAGCAATAGTTTTTCCAAATCGTTGACCTTGGAATATTGATAAATAGAAATGTATGAATCATATGTGATTGTTTGAACAAGATTGAAAATAAAAACTTACCAAACAATTTAATGGCTTCATCATTGACATTTAAACAGTCATAAATACGTAAACATTGAAGTTTCTGGGCACCACAATCACCGAGCAATTTTATAGCCGATGATGATAATGTTAGGCCACCAAGTTCAAGACATGAAATATTGATTGCTGATAATTTTGCAAATTTTTCTTCATCCAATGGTTTTTGTTCATCAAGTTCATTTTCTTTAGTGAATAGAATCAAATCTTTAAGATTTGTTTCTGATCGATGTTGGTCATCTTCACAAAAATTTCGTTCACGATCACTAAGACTGATTTTAATTGTTTTTAATTCGTTGGACATTTTGTTTGTGTTTTATTCGTCAACAACAAGAAATTTTGCTTGTGAGTGTGTGTTGAAGACGTCTTCACCAAAGCCACAAAACATTGTAAAAAAATGATTGCAGCCAAACGATTCTTATTTCGATGATTCGTGATCTAAATTTAACTTTTTTTTCTCACTTTTTTGTTTTGTTTATATATGTTTTTGGCATCGGTTCTTGTTTATGGTTCAATACAGAACAAAACGTCGACGCGTTGATTATTTCATTCGAAATGGAAATTCATTAGGCGTTCACATCTACATCAATTCAAGAGAAATTTTTTTTTTTCGTTTTATTTCAATTTCTACATGAAATTGTCAAACACTGATCAATATATGAAGAAAATGTATGCCACAAATACACACAAAGGTATGAATAATTTTATTTTCAAAAGTTTTCGATAGATGGTACTACGTTAGTGTGATTGAATTTTTTTTTCTATTTTTAATCATCATCACACACACACACACATTGAAAATTATCGATTTGACGTTTGATTGATTTTTGACATTTAAATTTCGAAACCCATTTTCCTCTTTGTTAAGTGAAGGGAAAAAAAAATCATTTTATTTGCCACTGATCGATTCAATGCACAAGCCAATTGATCGTTGATCATTTTTTTTATTCATTTATTCATTGTTTCAATGATTTTAATCAATCAATCAATCAACCATAGAATGCAATCGAGAGAAAAAAAAAGTTGAAATTGAATCATTTGCCTGGAGAGAGAGAGAGAGAGAGAGAGAAAGTGAAGACGAAACAAACTGACCACAAGATGGACATTATGGCTTCTATCATCACTTATATATTCACTATAATACTACTCTGCTTGTTGGCACAAAACAACGACAATTTTTTTCCGGTCTTTCGATTAGTTTCGTTTTGCTTTCGGTGTTTAGCTAAGTTTTTTTTTTTACTATCTTTGAATGAAAATGTTTTTTTTTCTTCTTTGAATTTGAATAGTGGAAAATAAGACATGGATTCATGTGTAGAATAAAACCGGATGATGATTCTTTGAAAATAAAAAAAAAAATAAAAATAAAAGGAACCACTAAATGCATTTGGTGCCATCAGGGACCAGATGTTAATAGTAAACATCGACAACAACAACAACAACAACAACAACAGCAGCAGCAGCAAAACATTGGATGAACTTTAATGTTTTCAGTTCAAATTTTTTTTTTCTTTTTTCAGTACGTTTCCGTTCTGTTGAAATTTTTTTTTTCTTTTACTTTTTCTTCTTCTTATATATATTTTCTTAAGGTTCTCATTCAATTCAATTCAATTCAATTCAGTCAATTGTCGTCATCATCATCATCATCATCATCGTTTTTTTTTGTTCATTCGATTCACCCGGCGCTTCAAACATTGAATACAAATGTGCGTGTATCTATCTATGTGTGTGTGTGTGTGTGTACAGAAGGAGATATTATGCACATACGTCTGAAATAAAAACCAAAAACTTTTGTAATAGATATAGAAAATATTAATTCTGCTAGAATAGTTTCTTACTCTCTCTCTTTTTATTCACTTTCCAAAATGATGACAAACAATGATGATAAAGAACACCCAGAAAGACAGGGAAATGCATTCGTGTTTACTTATCTCAAAGCAAAAAAAAAACTGGTTAACTAGCTATATATGAAAGAGCCAGAAAAAAAAAAAAATTTGTTGTACCAAGAAAAAATTAATATCATCAAACAGACAGACAGAACGTACTTATACTCTTTCAGGTTGATTTTTTCCTGAACCGAACATAAATCGAATCGACTAAATCATGGCTGAATCATGATGGAATAAAAACAAAAATGAAAATGAAAATGATTCTTGAATAAATGTAGAAGAAAAAAAAATCAAAATTCAAAGTTTTTTGTGCTGCTTTTTTTTGATTTAAAGATTTCTCATGTGTGTGTGTGTGTTTGTGTATTTTGAAATGTGATTATCATTCATTCCATGTAATCATCACACACACACACAGTCAAAGGAAATTCTTTTTCTTTTGTCATCCGACACACACAGTGAACGTGAAATAGATTCCACTATGTAATAGATTCTTGTTTGAACAAAAAAAAAAATTTCCATAAAATGTGACATACATGAGACGACAAAAATTGTATATATATACAGAATCTATCTGGTGATGATATTCAAATGAAAATTTCAAAAAAAAAAAAAAATAGGTATTTGCAATGAATGAACACATTTTGAATAAAAAAAAAAAAATCAAATGTGCTGCTGCTATATTATATTGAACGACCAGGTGATTTCATTAACGGTGAAATAAAAAATCACTCATTAATGATTCATTGATGTTGTCTACATGTAATTTATTCATTTTTTTTCTTCTTCTTCGTTGTTTGTGTGAAATCATCATCATCATCACACATATATAATTAACATTGGATCCATTGAAAAGAAATTGAATATAATCAATATGTTACATAATAGCAGTGATGACTGAGTGAAATGTGTCATTGAATGAATGAATGAATGAATAAATTAATGATAAATAAATAGACGAAAAAAACGTTGTAATATGAGTTTGTGTTTGTGTGTGTGTGTGTGATTAGGGTTTCTAGTTGCAAATTTCTCAATTTTTTTAAATTGACATTTGTCATTTTTTCTTTAATGCATGATAATCATCACAAAATCAGGCAGCTGCTGTTTATTGAATTTAAATTTTTTTTTCATTTTAAACACACAGACACACACATAAACGCCCATTCGAAAAGAAATTTGATTGATAAATATCAGGTTCATCATCATCACATATGTATAATTTGCATGTGATTGTTACAGAGATCAATTTTTTTTTTTTTTTTTCTGATATTATTTCATCACCATATATGTCATTTCATCATGTCAATGATTAAATTGTCGCACACACACACACACAAGAGAATTGAAAAGAATTCAATAATCCAGAATCTGTGATGATGATGATGATGATGATGATGACATTTTATTTGCAGATAATGAATCCGATTTTGTTTTTTTTGTTTCGAAAGTCATCGCCATTGAATTAGTAGTAGTAGTAGAAAAAATTCTGAAAAAGCATTTCTTTTGGGATTTTTTTTTCACCCGAATAGAAAAAAAATGGAACCAAATCATCATCAAATCTCTTATGGGGATAAATAATCAATTAGGTGTTCAAAGTTGGTGTGCACGTCCACTTGGATAGCTGTTGTTGTTGTTGTTGGATGATTATGAAAACCCGAAATCGAGATATTTCTAGGAAAATGATTATTATGATGATTATGATTATTTTATATCCACCGTCATTAAAAACAATACTGATAATCATCATTTTCTCTCTCGCTCTCTCGATAAGATAATAGAAAATTGTTTTTTTCTTTCTGGTGACTTTTTTTTGCCTGGGAATTGACAAAAAAAAAATTGAGCAAACCAATTTCTCTCTCTCTCTCTCTCGCCTTTCAGAATTCATTTCTGTAGTGAAGATAAACTCAATTTGACTGAATTGAATGATGCAGTAGTAGTAGCCCGGTAAAAAACAAAAGAGCCATTAGTATGTCAAATCTTTCATTTTCATTCCATTCATATAAATTATATTATCGAAAACACTAACAAACAAACGTCATTACTACATTGTTGACAAAATCACTAAAATAGGAACCGACAACCAACTACCGAGAGAAAACAAAAAAATAACCGGTCCAACTTGACCAACTAAAACAAAACAAATTATCCGACGACAACTACTGTTGATGATGATGATGATGATTTGGTTTCGTTTTTTATCTTTCGTGGCCATTCAAATTTTTTTTTGTTCTTCACTTGATTTTCAATGAATTTTTTTTCCTTGAAATTTTGTTTGTAGTTTAATTTCCCACATTTTTTTTAACATTTTGTTCTTTGTGTGTTTTTTTTTATTTGCTATGGCTGATTAACGTCAAACTATTTGATTCGTTTTATAAATGAGAATTTTTTTTGTCTGTGTGTGAACAAATCGAAATGAACACGCAATTCCTGAAGAATTTTTTGTGTGTGTGTGTGTGTGTGTGTGTTGATGGTCAATATAATTCGAGAAAAAGAGAACAAAATGGACAGATAATTAAAGTCGTACGTTTTTTTTTAATGTCAACAATAATGATGATGATGACAATTATTACAATAGAACAGAATTTCTGATTCTGTAGAATAAATTTTTCGAATCGAAATAGATTTCGATTATTGTAACAATAAGTTTATTTTTTTTTCATTGAAAATGAAATCATTGGAAATGAAATGTAAAGAAAAAACCTGATATCATATGATTCACAGAATGGTGATGATGATGATGAATTTAAATAATGAACTTTTTAATTAACATTGAAAAACTTTTATTTATAGACATTGCGCACGAAAAAAAAACTAAATAAATAAATAGCGAATATGTTTCCATTTTGTTTTGCCATTTGTGTAAGTGTTTGTAAAAGTCAAATTTTCTTATTGATTAAAATTCATGGAAAACAATGTGGATGATATTATTCCATTGGTAATAGGATTTTTCAGATGAACAAAAAAAAGTTTCAAATTAGACGACAAATGACAGTCTTTTAGTCTTTCAGTAGCTGATTTTTTTGTTTGTTTGCTTGTGATTTTAATCCCTTTGCATCTTGTGTTGGTGGTGGTGGTGCTGGTGGTGATGGGTTTTGTTTGTCAGCCACCGCTGGCCTTGTTGTTTTTAATTAATACACAGAATCAGAGTTTTTTTCAGATGACGATGAAAATCTTACTAGTGATACGTGTTTTAGTGTAATTTGTGAATCATTTTCTCTAAGTGGTGGTCAGATTAGCTAATCATCAAAAATTTATTCATTTCTGATTCTTTTGAGAACCAGAATGAAACTTTTTTTTTACATTCAACTTGGGATTTACCCATCAAACGAATGATAATATGTACGCTAAACACGAACATCAAACCAAAATGAAAACCGTTTTTTTTTATTTTGATCCCAATCGAATCGTTTTTTACTTTAACACCGAAAAAAAACAAAACCAAAATCAAACTAAACATCATCATCCAATGCACCAAAAAGGTGGTGAAAATCTTTTTTTTTGTTTCTATACCTATAATGGAAATAATCTAAAAATAGACGCCTAATCGTCATCATCATCATCATCATTCATTCATTCATTCATTCATTCGTTGTTGTCAATAACGTTTTCACGTTATCATTATATAAATTGATCCAAAGTGAAACATTGAAACACAAAATAAAAATAAAAATTAAAAAAAATGAAAGTAAGTAAAAATCATCATCATCATCATCATTATTATAATTACAACGACCAAGTAAATGATTATCAATTA